ATTACACCTTCTCTCTGCATTTTCACCCATTCTCAGGGCTTCTAATACAACCAGCATACTGCTCACACCCATACCTCTATTTCTAATCTCTCTACTAGATATTTATGTCTCAACAGAAGTCTTTTGTTGTTATTAGGACATGCACAAATGATGTCTGTTTTTACGCATAACAGAACCCTTTCCACCAAGTAAGAGTGTATGCTAATGAGGTGACTCAGGGTGGGACTCCTAGACAACTCATGGAAGGAGGCTGGTCACCAGAAAGACCAAATTTGAGATTAGAGGATGGCAACTTTCAATCCCACCCCTCAACCTCCAGGGAGAGGGGAGGGGGAGTGGGGCTGGAGATTGAGTTTTAAAAAACTCTTGAAATGGCACTGTTTATTAAGTACCCAATAAATGTTAGTCATTGATGCTGTTTCCTTTTCAGGTTTTTTCAGAAAGCAACATCCAAGAAAAAAAACAAATTTTCTTCAACGTATAATATGTAAAGTGGTTTAACAAATGGTTATATTCCTATCATGGAAAACCACTCAGCAATAGAAAAAAATGAAGTATTGATGCACAGAAAAAAATTAGATGAATCTCAAAGACATTGTGCTAAAAAGATCAATGGTTTCCAATAGTAAGTTTGGAGTGAGAGTATGACTCTAACACAGTCATACAAGGGAACTTCTTGGTGTGAAGGATGGTGCTCCTGGATCCTGTTCTGTATCCTGATCCTGATTTCACCTGACAAAATTCCTTAGAACTGTATGTCTAGAATCAAAAAAGTACTTGTGAAAACTGATGAAATCCAAGTATGATATATAGTGGACTTTCTATATTGTATCAGTGTCAACTTATTTGTTTTGTAATCATGCTGTGGTTATAAGATACAGTCAGTTGTAAGATGGGACCATTGGGGGAAGCTTTGTGAAAGCTACATGGGAATTTTCTGTACTATTTTTGCACCTTTCATGGAAGTTTAAAATTATTTCCAAATGAAAATTAAAAAAAAAAACAAAAATACTGGAATGAAGAGAGAAAGAAATACAAGAAGGAGGGAGGGAAGGAAGGAAGGAAAATGAAGAGATACCTCCAACCAAGATCTTAAACCCACATCCAACAAATGGCCCTTTGTCATAGGACACTACTTAACTACTTTAAACTAAGTCTATGCCAGTTATCCTATCAGAGCAAAGTGTAAGGTCACGCATAGCAAAATTTATAAATTTACATCAAGTTCCTGCATGTTTTTCCCATGGTTCCTGCTATCCCACGTGGCATCGTGTATCATTATGGACGATAATTTACTGAAAAACAAAGATTAACATACTTTAAGAGTTAAAGACAACAACAGACAAACCAATTATATCGGCTGATAGTCTGTAGCCACCATGTGTTTTCCAGTTTTGCCAAAGCCTTCAAATGCAGAAACCACAAAATTTTATTTGTGAAAAGATTTCATACCATTAATTGCCTTTTCTAAAAAGTTGGCAGATTTAAAAATGACAACTTAGACCTCCCTTTTGGCTTCAAGATGGACCTGATAGTACATTGGAACAACCTCATGTAAAGTTTCTGACTACCCTTGTTTGTCTTTAGCAGGATTAATAAATACTCTGTTCAAACAAAGCAACCATCTTAACATTGTCTCTTTGTACACAGCAGTTGTATTAATAATAAATTTATATGTAATTCTTTTTTTCTTAATCCTGGCCTTAAAATCAGCTAAATTATTGTAAACTGCTATGGTCTGCAAAATAAAGAGGGAAATGGAAACAGTAATCCTACTGCAGAAAAGAATTATGGGGTTTTAGTATATGCATCCTACTTCGGTCAAAGGCTGAAATTTGCTTTACATTTGCTGAGGACCTATTGGTCACAAGAGGAGGATGCTCAAGCATCATGTGACATGCCCCAATGGACTCCTTTGAAATTCTTGTCATCTTTTTTTCAAATATGTTCACAGGATCTCACACATATTTTGTGCTTGTATTCAAACCAAAAAAAAAGCTAACATCTTTCCTAAGTCAGTCCTTCTATATCCCCCAAATCATTACATAGCATCATAGGCTCAATCTTGCCCACAAAATAAAACAAAACAGGCATTTATGCCCCAAGTGGTTAATTCCAAACTTGTTTTCTTACCAGATGCCTGCTCAGGTGAGCCCTACCTCACCTTTCTAAGAACCCTCTCTCCACAAATTTCACTCTAAGAATTCCTGCCAGGGTCCTAGGACTTAAAGTACTAGAGCAAGGGTGGAGAGTGCAGAGAAGAGCAACCCTTACTACTCGCTCTCATTCTCCTGCTCCAATTTGTTCCATGTCCTTGACAAAGAGAGCCTCACCAACTCCATTTCCCCTTCCCTCAGAGCCCACAGTCACCATTTTACTGTTTCTTTGTCCATTCATCTACTGATGACCATTTATTTATTTAGGTTGTTTCCACATCTTGGCTATTATGCATAGTGTTGCAATGAACATGAGAGGGCTGAAATTTCTTTGACTACTGCTTTCAATTCTTTTGGAAATATACCCTGATGTAGGATTGCTGGATCATATGGTAATTCTATTTTTAATTTTTTGAGGAAACTCCACTTTTTCCACAGTGGCTGCACTGATTAACATGCCCATCAGTAGTGCCCAATTCCTCCACATTCTCACCAACACTTTTAATTTTGGGGTTTTTGACAATAGTCGTCCTAACTTGTGTGAAGTGATATCCCATTTCATTGTGGGTTTGATTTGCACTTTTCTGATGATTAGTGATATTGAGCTTCTTGGCCAATTGTCTATTCGAGTCTTTTGCCTTTTTTTGTTGTTAAGTTTTTCTTTTGCCTATTTAAAAAAATGGGGAGGTAACTAGGTTTATTTTTTTACTTTGTTTATTCATTATTTGTAATGGGGGTACTGGGATTGAACCCAGGACTACATGCTAAGCATGCACTCTACCACTGAGGCATACCGTCCCCCTCTTTTGCCTGTTTTTTAATGGTTTTTATTGTTGTTGTTGTTGACTTACAGTGGTTTTTAACATAATCTGAATATTAGTCCCTTATCCGATACACGGCTTGCAGATATTTTCTCACTTTCTGTAAGTCACCTTCCTGTTCCGTTTTCCTTTGCCGAACCCTGCAGTTTGTCACAGCATTTCAGTCAAGCTTCGGCGCAAGTCAAATAGCTGCGCCACGATGCCTTCTGGGAGTTGTAGTCCTGAATGTCTGAGGCGAGTGGAAGGCGGAAGATTTTTTTCTCATTGGGCCTGGTTGTAATCAGATTTCTACTGAGCAGGGCTGGAATGAACGCCTGCCTGGTTCTCATCCTTAAACAGTTCCTCGGACCCAGCTGTGATAAGACCCGCTTCGCCCCTTGGCCTCCCACGCAAGCCATTCATTTCTCCCTCCGGGTTCCCCCATGCTCGGCGCTCGTGGGTGGGGCTTCCTGCGGGGGCGGGGCGTCCGGCTATTCCGCAGGCCGGCGCTTCCGAGGCCGGCAGCCAGCAGGCCATCTCTTCTCTTCGGGCCGGGAGGCGCAGGAAGCCCCGTCCATGGACCGAGCGGCCGTGGCGAGGGTGGGCGCGGTAGCGAGCGCCAGCGTGTGCGCCCTGGTGGCGGGGGTGGTGCTGGCCCAGTACATATTCACCTTGAAGAGGAAGACGGGCCGGAAGACCAAGATCATCGAGATGGTGAGTGCGGGGTTCGTGGCGCCGGAGCGGTTGAGGGGCCTCAGGGTGGTACGTCCGGCCTCGCCTTCCCGCGCCGACAGCTGCTGGAACGCGAGGGGCCCACAGGCGACCCGGTCGCCCCGCGTGCGGCGACCCGCGCGCTCGGTGACTTGGTCTGAACCCTCGACGGCGGCACTCGGTTTCCCGTGGCCTTTGTTAGGTCTCCGTTTGAAACAAAAAAGCAAATAGATGATTCGGAAAAAGCTGCCTCCCACTACAAAACCCGTTTTTCAAGAAATAAACGGAACTTTCTTGGCAGGTTTCTCTGCTCCCGCATCCCGCGTGAAACCATTGCAACTCTTCTAATTCTGATGGAGTTGGTTTTACCCCGTAGCTAGGATGAGTTAAATTATGAAAAGGTGTAACTTCCCAGTGGTTAATAAAAGGAATGCCACTTAACCCACTTGGAGTTCCGAATAGTTTATTTTGTGATTGAATGTTTTTCCTTCTTGTCTCAAACTGCTGGGAAGTATCTTTGTGTTCATTTTTTCCACCAGACCTCTTACATAACACCTTAGAAATTTATTTACGATTTTATTGAATGAGAGTGTTCCAAGATTTTCATTTGAGGTACATAGTAAGCAATATTTGCTCCACAGTGGGGAGCAAATTTAGTTTTTAGTTTTCTGTTTTTTAATTAGAGCCCACTCATCAAGACAGTTTACCCAGTGAGTTGAATTCTAATGTACTTACTGGAGTGCATTGTCCCTTGTATACTCCTGAAAATGCTACATGTGTAATCTAGGGTCAAAAAAAATTTTTTTAATGGAGGTACTGGGGTTTGAACCCAGGACCTCGAGCATGCTAAGCATATGTTCTACCACTGAGCTATTTCCCTCCCTCTGAGGTCAAATATTTTTGACAAATCAGTTGATAGTTTACCACTGTACTAAATAATATAATTTTAGGTTCATGTATTTAGAATACTTAGTCTCAGTTATATGTTCTTATTGATCAAATAAACTTTGTCGTGTTGTTTGCTATTTACCTCAGGTTGAATGCAGAAATGTTTTTCCATAGAAAGACAAAAAACCAAAAACTCCCGCATTTCTCATATGCCAATAATATTCCTAGGTTTTTTTTTTTTTTTATTGATAGAGTAAAATTAGTCTTGGGTTATTATTACCTACCTTATTTTCTCCATCTCTTTACTCACAGCAGCAAATGTTTTTAATTTCAGACGAAATTGGGCACATTCAGGGTGGTATGGCCGTAGACAAATGTTTTTAATTTCAAAAATTTAATTTTCTTTATGTTGCTGTCGTTTTTATGTTATGTTGCTTCCTTTTGCTCCACAGCAAAAATGTATGATACATATGTGGGAAGAAACCTTAATTGCCATACCTTCCTGTATGTACTTAGACTGTAGATTGGTCTATCACTTCCCTTCTAAACCAAGTAGAGCTAAAAATCAATGCTTTCATAAAATCCACAAAAAGCCATCGTAAGAACAGTTTGCCATCTTTGTGAAAAATAATTCAGGCCCATTATTTGTAGTATAGAAATTAGCTAACCTTTATATATACATAATATGTTATATTAAGGCATAGGGGCAAGTAATATTGTGGCTACAGCAAAATATACAGATGTGTATTTGAAAGGAAGAGGTAGGGAATGTGGACAAAAAAAGCCAGATTGTAAAAGAATCTTGTAAAGCCCTTTGTTTTGTAGCAGTGGTCCGAGGAGTGAGAAGGGGGTGGGCATAAATGATTTTTAAACAGGATAATTGCGTGTTCAAAACTGTATTTTGTAAGGATCACTTAGACAAGATAGGGTAGAAGGGGAGAGCCTGGAAGGAAGGAAACAATTTAGGAGGATGTTGGCAGTGTTCCTTGTAAAAGATGATTAGGACCTAGACTAGGAAATGAGGAATCAAGGAATAAATAAATAAATAAAATCAACAGGCAGCGGTGTTACAAACTCTAGAGTCATACAAACCTAGCTTTGAATCTAGACTTTCTCATTTATCAAGCTGTGTGATCTTGGGCAAGTTATTTAACCTCTCTGAGTCTCTGTTTCTTCATCTACTAACTGGGAGATAATAATAGTACTTCTTAGGGTAGTTGTGAAGACTACATAAGATAACACAGTAAACATAATTGCTATCATTTGAGAGCTTATTATTTATGATCATTAAATAAAGAGATTAATCACAGGGAGGTTACAAAGTAAATGGTGATACTGGCTACATTATTTGCCAAGAAAGAAAGGTGTGGGGAAAGAGGGAGGAGGCAGAGACAATGTGGAACAATACAATAACTTTGTTGTGTTAAATTTTAGGTGATCAGAGAGTAGACAAGTAGAAATGTCAGTAATTAGTTACCATAGGTAAAGTGCTTAGAAAAGCTTTTATTTACTGTTGGTCCATATATTGGCTCGTAGTAATATACACTGTATACATTACCTATTGTTTTTAACAACAGCAACTGAAAATGTAGGGCAGGAACTCAGAAGATAAATTGGGACTAGAAACAGTACTTTGTCAAATGTCTAGCCCCTGGCGGTAATAGTGGAAATGGTTATAAATTCTCATCCATAACTTTGCAGCAAGACAAAAAAAAAGAAAACTTGAGAATACTAACATATAATGGGTATTCAGTAAGGAAAACAGAGGTGTCAGAGGTGAGATAACAGGACACTGTTCCAAAAGAGTGGGCAGAGTCAGCTGTGTCTGCACAGATCAGAATTTGGACTTAAAGTCTTGTACATTGAATAGTCACTGGAAAAACAATGAAGTGAAAAAAATCAGAAAGTGATTATTGAATTGTTGAGTACAAGAAATACCTGTGCCTTCAGGGTGTGTTTTGTCTTGTTTTGTTTTTGAATAGTTGGCCCATGACCATTGGTACGCAGAGGGGTAGTGAAAAACTAGTGCTTAAAGAAGAGAGGAGAGGGAATAATCAATCAA